AATTAAAACCTTTTTAAACTGGTTTTATATAACCTTAATTATTCATTTGACCTAAATCAAAAATATCACACAACTACATCCAGGTTTTTGCAAGCTTTCTTTACCAGTAATTTATTATCTCTTTTATTTCATGTTGGTGAAGCTTTAAAGAATCTTTTCATTAAACCTCTTTGAATCATCGGCTCAAACACTGAGAGAATACAATAAAACACTAACAAAAATGTACTGAAAATACAATAAACAGTAAATATTAAGACATTAAGCAACAAACAAACAGACTTAACACTTTTTTTAGGGTGAAACACATCTTTATTGCCTTCTTAATACATAAGTCCCCCGCCTGAAGCTGTACTTTGATGGCCGCTCAAACCTTCGCCCTGATTTCCTCCTGACCCAGGAGAGAATAACAGCTCTGGTTGAACGGCTCCAGAAGCCCTGTCACCACAGATGGAGGCAAGACCTAGAAGTTCCAGCCTTCTTCTTTTGGCTGGAAGTGGTGCGTCCTATCGTGTTGTTTCCAGATCCTTTGATATTCCTCCATCCACCATCTGCTACATTGTCCACAGGGTGGCAGAGGGTATTCTAGGCCTGAAAAACAGTGTGATCTGCTTCCCCCATGGAAACCAGCTGGCTGAGGTAGCAGTTGGCATCCAGCAGCTTTCTGGATCCACTGCCTGCAAAAATGTGGTTGGCAGCATTGATGGCATCCGGATCAAGCCGCATAAAGAAAACGCAGAATGTTATTTTAACCGCAAATTATTCCATTTAGTTCAAATCCAAGCCATATGTAACCACACCACTAGATTTCTTGATATTCTTATTGGGTATCCATGATTCCACTGTTCTAAAAAATAGTCCTGTTTACACCCACTCCCTCTACCCACCAAACCAGTATGTTATGCTTGGCGATGGTGGTTATCCATGCCTGGAACAGCCAATCACGCTCCTCACGCCATATAAGGAGAACCTGTGAGGAATCCAGTTGAAGCTCCATTTAACTGCCATCACTCTCCTGCAAGAGCTGTCATAGAAAGCTCCTTCAGAATCATGAAGGCAGGTGGAGAGCAATATTTCTAAAAGCACTGGAGGTAAAACCTACCTTTGCTGTAACTTCTGCCTCAGTCAGGGGGACATTATGGAGGTGCTGGAGGAGGAACCAGAGGCAGCAGAGGAAACCTTCCAAGGAGACGACCAGGAGCAGCAGAGTGGAGAGCCCCTGAGAGCAGGACTGGAGGCTGCAGTGTCAGCTCCAAGGATCAGAGCCCAGGCTCTGCAGGAGCAGCATTACATTTAGAAAGCTTTAAAACATTTCAATCTCAATAAATACATTGCATTTTTATTCATGTAAATATTTCTTAAATTATTGTTAATATTGAAATTGTGTATTTTTTTCTGTTTTGTTCAATTGTTACATGTGTTTGAAGTCGTCACATGTATATATGTATATATTTAATTATTATAAAAATATTTCTTATCATCCCAATTTAACTGATTTTGATAAATGTTTTATGAATGTCTCAATCTTCTCACATTTTACTCAAGAGAGTCTGGCTGCAACAGTGCAGGTCTGCAGCCAGACTCTTTTCTTCTTCTTCTTCTTCTTCTTCTTCTTGTGTTTTACAGCAGTTAGCAAAAACCTTTTGTTCATTATCGCCACCAACTGAAATGGATTGTGGATCGGGATTGAACTAATGCAATATCCTACTACTATTACTACAAAGGAAAACTAAAAACGAAATCCTCTTTATCAAATTAGTCTTTTTAATATATCTCAATAATAAAGAATAACCCTCTGAGTTAGAGTCCATGTCTAAAAGGTATTTTATGTTTAACTTTTATGTTTACCTTTAATTTATCTATTGACCAGTTCATTTCTTTCAATTACATATTTAGTGCAAAATAATAAAACATGATCAACTGATTCCTCTTGAAAATAAAAATCCCATTTCCCTGTAGTGTGTTTTCCTAATTTAATTAAAATTCTATTTAAACCTGTGTGACCAATGTATAATCTTGATGTGATTATTTCTTCCTTTCTATTCCTTCCTGTTTTCCTCATTATTCTAACTTTTCTTTGAATACTATTCCACCATCTTCCAGTTCTTTCTTCTTCCCACTAATTCGGCCATCTTGCTCTAACCTTTAGCTTAATTACTGATTTTATTTCACCTTTACTAAATTGGTGTATTATATAAATATGACTGCTTTTAGTAGCTTGTTTTGCATATTTATCAGCGTCTCATTCCATTTTATTCCCTTATGAGAAATATAAAAGAATCTATAAATCCCATTGCTTCAATTAATTGCTAAATTTCTAATTAGATATCAGGTCAGCTGTCTGAATGATTGTATTTAAATGAATATAACGATGAACTAGAATCAGGGCCAGGGGCGGATCTAGAAAAATATTTATGGGGTGGCAAGAGGGGGGCAGGAATTTTTTAGGGGTGGCAACATATGGCATTTGTTTACACTGAATTTAATCACAGTTATCACAGTTTGGTGAGAATAGTATGTACAGTACTAGTGTTTCATGTGAAACAGTTCATATTAATAATACATCGTACAATGAGATCTCACCTAATAGGAGATAGAAGAATGATAACACTACTTCTAGAGGGGCCTTATGACAGGAAAGGTATTAAGGTAAGACACAGGTGCTGAGTCGCAGATGTGTGAGATTGACTGTCAGAGAGGCAGCTTTGCAGCATTTGCACAAGAAGAAACTAGAAAGAAAAAGTTCCCCATCAGAGATCTATGGACTGAGCTGGACTAAAGTGAGCAGAACTACACAGTAGAAATAAATGGGTCAAGGCACCCAAACAAGGTACTGGACATCTATGTAATGTTTACTCTGAACACACATTTACCCCATTTGTTCCTCAGTAACTTGACATACAGCAGTTAAGGCAACATGAAAGGGACATTTCATGCATGTAAATATGCTGTAGATAGAGCTGGATATGGAGGACCAACTCTGCCATATTTAAAAATAAATACATAAATAAATAAATGCTCAATAAATAAATAAGCAATTAATTGCCACCAAAAATACAATCAACAAATAAATGTAATTGGAAATTATATTATAATGGCAGGCAGAAATGTAAACAGGGCAGGCAGAAAGAAATAACGGCGAAGAAATAACTAGAGTAAAAAAAAATACAAAGGAAGAATAAAACAGACAAAAATATGATAACATGCACATAAATAAATACTTAAAAATATAAGTAATTAAAAAATGAAGTTGAAGATAATAAATGACAAAAAATAAATAAGGTAAATATTAAAAAGGCAAAGAAATAAAGAAGCCAATTAAAAGAGTTATATACCTTTATGACTAGCTGTATAATTTAATTTCTACTTACATTTATTTGTTGTTTGTATTTTTGGTGGCAATTAATTGTATGCTTATTTATTTATTGAGCATTTATTTATTTCTGTATTTATTTTTAAATATGGCAGAGTTGGTCCTCCATACTGCTATATCAACAAATCAACAAAAAGGCGGGTTCTGTATGTTACATCAAAATCTCCACAAATCTGAAAAGAAGCAACATAAAAATACATTTTGCTTGTGAGTAGGTTCATACGGGTCATTTCTGGATAGTTTCATATTATATACAAAAAAGAAACAACAACACTGCTTCATGTTAAGCAGGATTTACACCAGTATCACATTTTTAACTTTTAACACTTTTGGTTTTATTAAAGGAAATATCAGATTTTCTCAGGTGCCAAAACAAAACATAGCAGCTCTGTAAAGGCTCACCAGAGAGCAGAACATAAAGTTACCATGACTATAACAGCTGAATGCAGTGATTTCCATGTTGCTCAGCAAAACGCTTCACAACTTTATTTAGATCCAATGCCTTTGTGCGTTTTGATTTGAGTGCAACCAAACTTGATCGTCTCTTTTCTGTCATAGTTGACCGCAAATATGTCTTTATGAGCCTGAGACGTCAGGCCTAACTAACATCATAGTTAGAGAAATTACGTTCTGCAACCTGATTTTTATCATCTCAAAATCAGCATTGCAGCTATGCTAGCAACATTGAGCTTTCATTATGATTTAATTTCTCTATAGATAGTTAATCAGTTTTTACCTGTTTCATCCCGTTTGTCCTCTCCCCATCACCCCTGGCTCCCTCGCTTTGCTCCATTCGGTTTTCAAAACAATCAGTCTCAGTCGCTCTCGCGTCATCTCGTGCTGCATTCACTGCAGTCCGACATTGGAAATTAGCGGTCGTAATTCTCAAATGATCCATAATTTATAAGCCTCGCCACCCTTACCGCCAACTGGGGGGGCAAGGCTGTTATTTAGGGTGGCATTTGCCACCCTATGCCACCCCAGTAGATCCGCCTATTATCAGGGCAAACTAAACTTCTGACTGGATAGATTTCTACAATCCATTCTAACACCAATATAATCACAAACATTTCTCCTCTGTTCACTAAAATTCCATCACTGATTCTTTGACCTGATTTAAAATTAAATTCTGGAACTACAAACTAAACACCATTCCTGTTATTAAATATTTTAAAGCAACCGTAGAAATGTATCCATAAAAAAACAAAACAAATATCCATAGTATTTTATATCAAAATATTTCTGAACTAAACTTGAATCTGAAATATCCTCGTTGTTTTTTTCTGTTTAAACAGAAAAAAAAACAAGGAGGATATTTCAGATTCAAAGTTCAATCCACATCAATAACCAGACCCTCTCATTTTACAAAGTAAAATCAAGGATGACCCGGATGTTGACGTAGCTGCGCATGCGCAATGAGCTGCTGGTAGGGATCGGGTAGCATTAGCAGCATTAGCTTAGCTTGTGTGTGGAGTCATTGTAGAGAGGCTGATAATCTGGTGTTTGCAGTGAGAATGTCTTCAGTCCAGCTTCAAGGAGAGTTTATCACCGAGCAGTTAACTCCTGCTGAAGAAACATTCACGGAGTTTAAAGGGAGTTTGGTCAATTCGGAGGAAAAGATGGACGATCAACATCTACTGCTGGATTTCACCAGGATCCCCCAGATCATCTTACACCGGATAGGTAGGAAACACCTGATAGAAACGATTCCCTGATGATGCACACTGTGGATTTTAGCCTCATCTGATTGGAAAACTGATTCGAGGAGATCTAGCTCATTTAGCGGTATTTAGGAGAGAAATCGGGGGTTGATCGTAGCTTTTCGAGTGAGAGTGACTTAAGTTTGGTTTTTGTTCATTTTGGGCTTCCGTTCCTCTCTTCCGCTTTTTTCTGGCTTAATGGGAGCAGTGGGCTTTACCCTTTAAATCTGGGTTTGAATACATAAACTAATGTGGATTAATCCCCTCTACTAAATAAATCATACTTAAGCATTTTTCATTTTGATTCATTTTTTTTTTTTTTTTTGAAATTTGGACATAACAAAAATCATAAACAGTCATGGAAGCAAATTATTACAAATCAATTTAAAAAATGTATTAAAAGATTAAAAAGAATGAACGTAGATTGATTCCACATATCCTACCTCCAAAATAACACACTAGAACAAACATCTTGTTTCTCTTTATTTTTAGAGACATAATGGAGGCAACAAACCCATTCTAAACACACATGGTAAGTTCCCTGTACTTATATAGCAATTGTTTAAGTCAGAGTTCTTGATCAAAGCGCTTTAAACTACATTCAGTCATTTCCACACTGATGGTGGTGAGCCTCATTGCAGCCACAGCTGCTCTGGGACTCACTGACAGAAGAGAAGCTGCTGTACCAGGGTTCCCGCGGGTCATTAAAAGTCAATAAATTATTATTTTTCTAAATAAGGCCTTAATTGGCATTAAAATACATTAAATGTTATCGTGGCATTTAAAATGCCTTTTAAAGAAGCGTTTACAAAAACAAATTCGTCAGATATATGAGATATGGCGGAATGGAAAAGAAGCTTGATGCAGAGAAAAGGCTAGAGAATGAGAAAATGCACATTTCAACAAAAGTAGCTGGAAATCGAGGAATTCAGGACCTGGCTGCAGCCTGTGGACGGTAAAGATGATAAAGCATTTTGCTGTGTTTAATATATATATATATATATATATATATATATATATATATATATATATAATCAAGGGTACTTGTTGATGGCATTAAATTTTTTCTTGCCTAAGGACACAGTGAAACTGAAAGCCAGAACTGGGACTCAAAGGCTACGTTCACACTGCAGGCCTTGATGCTCAATTCCGATTTTTTTTTCGAAATCCGTTTTTTTTTTACGTTGCTGTTCATATTTCCAAATATATGTGATCTCCTTTGTGAACTGCATTCATTCAAAGCAAGTGTCCCGCATGCGCAGTAGAGGACGCAATGACGTCACAGGCCAGCACGCTCTGTGTTTACGGAAGTAAATATGGATGGTAGTGGTGAAGTGCATCTAGTGATCTTTTCCAACCATAACAACTCAATCTTTTCAATATGGTTAAACATAAATACTGCCCTCCGCACCATCGTCTGCCATGGTTGTTTTTCTTGCGACTTCTGCGTAGCAAGACCGAGAATAGTGATTTTTGTCAGGTATTAATGACGCTCAGGTCTGATGAATCTGACCTGGCTGTTCAGACACAGGTTGCATTTGAAAAGATCAGATTCGTATCGGATTCAGGAGCACATAGTCAAGTGGCCTGGGTTAGAGTCCTGCAACGGGTCGGGTACCCAGGGGTCCCCGACGGGTCACCCGCTAAAATGCTCTTTTGCGGGTGAAAAATACATAAACAAAAATAAACGGGTCGGGCGGATATTTTTTTAGTCCGGGCGAGTAGTTGGTGATTTTTTTTTTATACGTGTGTGTTGTTATGGACATCAGAAATGTTATATTAATCAGGCACTGGGGTCACCCTTGTTGTAGCTTAAAGCCCTGCCGGCAGTGTGGGCTTCCCTCCAAAAAGGCCACAGTCAGTGCATACATGTCTGCTGCAGTGTTAATGGCGCTGCTCTGCAGCGCAGCGTACTATAGCCTATTACTTGATGTGTTAACGGGTCGGGTTCGGATTTGAATTGAAGATATCCGCGGGTGACGGGTCGGGTTCGGTAGTCATCCTAACGGGTTCGGGCGGGTGCGGGTTGGTAAAACTCGACCCGTGCAGGACTCTAGCCTGGGTTGCATTGGAAAAAATCGGATCTGTGTTGTTCAGCCTGCCATGAAAAGATCAGATTCAGGTCGCATGTGGGCAAAAAAAATCAGATTTGAGTGACTTCAGGTTGCAGTGTGAACGTAGCCATACTCTGAAACTCCGACAACTCTCAGATTGCAGAGCGCCCGACACTTTAGACATTTGTTAAGGAAATGCTGTTGAGTCATTTAAAAATAATTATTTAGAACAGTTGCTTGCATCCAGGTCATAGTCATTCCAAAAAACATAAAAAAGAAAAAAAAACCTTGGTTTCCAAGTTTGAAGATGTTTTGCTTCCCATCCAGGAAGCTTTTTCAAGTCAAAATATCAGAAATGGCGTTGAGTGCGAGGTGTTATACAGTAGCCCAACAAAGCCTTGTTTTGGCTTAAAAAACATGCAAATTGAACCGGACGAAAGGGTTCGCCCCTTTAGGAATGGGGGGTCGTTGGGGTTCTTTTTTTAGCTTGTAGTACCCGATACCTGTCTATGTCCCTAAAAGAGGGGTCGTTAGAGGGAATTGTTGGCCTGGCTGAACAGATGAGGTGGTTCTGTCCCCTCTATGGGGGTGGGGTCGCAATGATAGCTGGAAGCTAAGCTGGACTGCTGCATTGCAGAGTTTTTATATGCTGAGATCTAAGTCACCCCCCCCCCCCCCCCCCCTTTGTTCATAAGGTGTAGATATACCTCAGAGTCTTGTTTAGGACATTGTCTTGCTTGTGTTACTAAAATGTAATTGGATTGTTTTCACTTTTATGGATGCAGTGCAGTCTCAGAATGTGGAACAGGGAAACAGCAAGTGACATCAGTATATAGTGATTATTGTTATTATTAGAGCACAGAGAATGAACTGGCAGTAATCCTCTCTTCCTCTTCAGAGAGACTCCCAGCTTTTGGAAACCTGCGCACAGGTTAGCCTACAAAATAGCAACACTGCTCTTATGTGTTTATTGCTCAAATATCTGTTTGAGCGAGATAAATCACTGACTGATATTCTATGTGTGGGGGAGCGCTGCACTTTTAATGCAGAAATAAAAAACTGAGAATGTGTTAAAAAGACAGAGAAACAGCACTACAGCTGCAAAGGAGAGGAAGATGGCGAATAGAAGATTGTTGCTCAAGTTATTGCATAGCTTTATATAAAGTGTCTATGGCAGGCTGTTTTTAAATTTATCAAAAGCTCTCCTCTCTGTTGTTCCATTTGTAGATCACTAATTTAAGATTCTTCCTGATCAAAATCGCACTCCTAGACTGAACTGCAATAATAGATTTTCTAAATTACATTTTTGTAGCAGAAACTGAAATTGAGAAAGTAAAAAAAAAAAAAGAAAAATTTACAAGAATTAATTTTAACATACATAGAAATGTTTACATATTTTAAAGGAATAGTACACCCAAAACATGATTAGCCTTCATTTTCTACTCACCCCCATGCTGAACAACACTCTGGAGTACTTTTTTGATATCTCAAATGCATCTGGAGATCTGGGAGGCTTCTTGCTGTCTGCTGACATTCAAATAATGGAGGTCTATGGTGCCCGAGGCAGAAAGGTCCATAAAAGTCCACAAAAAACGTGTCAATATTCCTCCATACTGCTCTTCCAATGTATTCCAAGTGTCGTGAGTGGGTAGCATCCAGAATTTACTCGAAACAAAGTCATTTAGAATGTTTTTAGAGCATAAACAGTAGTGTATAGGATTTCCTAAAAGCGCGCGCATGCAAGTTCACGAGTCTACGGAAGCCGGCAGACCAAACCAGATGAAAGTGCGCATTGGAAAAATCTTTTTTCAGATTTAGGAATACATTTTCAGTAAAACTAATATATATCAAAACAGCTTGCATGGTCAATGTATCTATTTAGGTGAAATCTGGCAGCAGGTAAAAATGAAGTCTAGAAATGTTGTTCTAATAGATATGAGGTCTTCATCATGCATTCCTATTCATGTTGATTGTCTTCTTTTACACGGTAAATACTAAGTGGGTGTGTGCAGCCGCGCTTTGGATATTATCATCCCAATAAATGGCCGTTATAAGCGGCTATCAGTCCCACAGAATGTTTTCAGATCGTGCCAGTAGGCTCATTAGGTTGTTTTCATTGAGTGAATCCTAACCTTAAACATAAAGTAATTCCAACCCACCCCGCGGAATTATTTAATCTATTTATGTGTAATCTGAAAATAATTTCAGTAGTTCTTCATGTACTGTAAATATAACTAAATATGTTGCTAATATTAAACAGCCAAAAACAAGTAATCTGTTGCCCTGTTAACTGACTTGTAGAATCATCTGCCTATAAATATTTAATTCTGTGAAAAAGTGCCGACCTTTCTTTAATACGATCCTCTTCAAATGGAAATGCAATGGTTTTATTTTAAACCTAATGTGTCTAGCGGACCTAGTTAATTGTGTGTATTTTTTATGCACAAAACTTCAACAAAAATCAGACTAAATCAAGAAATAAAAGCCAATCACCTTACAGCCAATCACAGCGTGTTTGGCTGTAAGGAGTACGACCGGAGGACAGAAAACAGATACTGTTACATAATGATCCTCTTTCAGCCTCACAAATAAAGCAACGAGGGGCAAACAGTGCAGGTATATGACTTTGTCCTGCCATTTCAGTTTTATCATTAGCCACATTTTGGAAGAAAAAAACTACTGTACCACAGTGTTTATTACAACAATTTTCTTTCAATATAGCTCCCATTTTTAAGATGAGCATATAAAATGTTTTGACTTTTGAGACATGCTCTACAGATTCATTAAATTAGGTTTGCTTAAAGGTATTGTGGAGGATTTTTTTCAAAGACCCGCCCTCCACTTAAAAAAAAAAATGCCCATGCAAGAACATGCACGAGCACGCCCTGTTTAAAATGTGCTGTTCTCATAGCTCATACAAGATTACGGTGTCCCCATACAGCGGGGGCTATATAGTTGATTTATAGTGAACTCAGTTAACTGACTGTCCGGACAGATGATCACTGCTTTTTGCTCCGTTGGTCGTGTAACTCCTCCTCCACCGCACGGTGCCAATGTCATCTTTATTAGATAGCGGGCAGCTGTGACAGCAAAGCCCATAATGCTTTGCGAGTAGAGCTCTTAGCACAAAGCATTCTGGGATATATCTGCCACTTCTGAGGCCTGTTTTTTTCTTCTCATACACTTCATAGTAGGGGTGTGCAAAATAATCGTCATGATGATGCATCGTGATTCTAATTTTCGTGATCTACTGCATCGATTCTTGACGCCAAGTATCGATTATTAATTTAAAAAAATGAATAAATAAAATTGCATGAATGGTTGGCGAACATCAGCCAAAAACAAGTGTATTACAAATTCCAGTCCAGTAGATGTCGCTGCGGATGTGTTGACGCACGCTGCCTTGTGTCACAAGCATTTCCGGCCGCGGGATACTGCGACGAGTCATTCAAAAACAAAACATGGAGGAGAAAATATTGCAATGCATCGCAATAATTCAAGTATCGTGATGCATCGTGATAGAATCGCATCGTGGCCTATGAATCGTGATTCGAATCGAATCGTGACTTCTTTGGCAATACCCACCCCTACTTCATAGACACTTTTTTCTCTTACGACCCTCAGCCATGTTCAAAGAGAAATTGTGGTGAGAATTCCAACTTCTGAAAGTACTTTAAATATGGAATTATCACATACTGTTTAATAAAGTGTTTTAATCAAGAGTAATTTTCAGTAGAATGTGCTTTAATGGAGACATCCATGTTTTTCAAAGAACACTACTGCCACCTACTGGTTGGTGACGTCACAGTGTGGTATTGGCTGTAACTGATACCTCAGTTACTCATACACTATAAGTGTATGAGTAAATAACTTTTTCTTCTAGTTGATATTCTAACACTGGTATCGAAAAAAGTATCGTTCAGGAACCGATATCGAAGTAAAGGTATCAGTATTGGTACCAGTATCGAAACTTTTTGATTGATAACCAGCCCTAGGTATAGATAATGATCCACTGATTATTCTTTGCTGACCAGACTTTTCCTTTAAATCAGCAAAACTCATTTTTTGCCTCCTTATCTCTGCATTTGGGTCCTCGGCCAACCACCATCCTACCTTGACAAGTCATTTAACAGGATATGTGATTTTGTTTTTTTTTTGGTTTAATATTAGTCACATGCAGAACATTCTTTTTCAGCAAATGAAGAACTACTGAAATTACATTAATTTGTGGGGGAAAATGAATAACTTCAGGGTTTGGATTAGGATTAATTGGGTGATACCAACCTACTGAGCCAGTTGTTAGGTCAGAGGCACAATCTGAAGCCATTCTATGGGACTGATGACCACTAATAACGACCATCCATTGAGATAACAGTGTTTCCGTGGGTCATTAAAAATCATTAAAAGTCATTAAATCGTTTTTTTTAATTAAGGCCTTAATTGGCATTAAATTTAATTAAATTTGATAATCATGGCATTAAAATCGCTTCGGAAAAGAAGCTTGAGGCGGAGAAAAGGCTAGAGAATGGGGGGGAAAATGCCAATTTTAACCAAAGTGGCAGGAAAACGAGGAACTCAGGACATGGCTGCAGCCTGTCCACGGTGAAGATGACGAAGGAATTTGCCATATATATATATATATATATATATATATATATATATATTCATGTCATGGGTACTTGTTGATGGCATTAAGATTATTTCTAAGAGCATTAAAAAGCATTAAATAAGAGTTACTCAATCATATCTCCATATTGCTATTTTACCTATTCAGCATTTTTATTATTTTGACTATGAAGAAATGCATTTCAGATATATTAGATACATATATCTGTTCAAGCTGATGAAGCCCCTGTCACACCTTGACAATTCAGCCAGCGTATGCTAGACCTCCCAGAATCTCCTAAAACGCTGTTATACGATGATCTTTCTATGTATGTTTTCAATTTTGGGCGTATGCATAGAGTAGTCATAATGAATCCAGAGTGTATGTCCAACGACAGTAAAACATAACACATGGCAGTGCAATACCCATTAAACGTCACAAGCCATTGTCCTAAGGGGGCAGCGATGCGCCTGGAGTCGCCCAGTCTGCTTAATAACATTTCTTTGATTGCGGTTTTAACCTAGCTGCTGTTTACCGCTTGCCACAAAAAAGAATAAATAAAGAAAAAGAGGGTTTTTAGTCACAGCAGATTCAGCATCATCTTTGCTAGGAAGTTTGATGGTTGTGGGCGTGAACGCAAGGAGGATCCTTCACACTTATCTTCTTGCTCCACCTATGATTGGGATGAAGTCTGGAGGAATACTGACGGTTTCCTTATTCAAACCCCCTTTCATACCAAAATGCTGCCAATACGCCATTATACAGTAGCTGTAAGTTAGATACACGTTCAGCGCTCGGCTGGAACACTTCAAATACATTGATATACGGTGGAGATAAGTTCTTAATAAGTTACTCTTAAGTTATGCACAACTTACTCATAGGTTTTGGATAAGCTAGACACCACAACTTATATGTAACTTACACTTAAGTGTTTCTGAATCCCCCTTCTTTATTTCAAATGTCAGGACTGCAGACAATGCTTCCAGGATCTCTGGTAACTGGTATTGTACTAATCCAATCTAATTTTATTTGTTAAACATGTAAAAACAACCACATCTGACCAAAGTCATTCTACAAAGTACTACCTTCATGCAGTCAATCCGAGCCTCCCATCTTGTTGCTGACAAAGGTTTTAAGGTGAGCTGTTTTGCATGTTCCCTTAGAACTTGCCACCGTTGAACAGAAGAGCTGAATGAGTTGTAGAGTCTTTTCAACACACCAGAGAAGAGAAGGCTTGGCAGCATCTGCCACAACCAGGTTAATGGAATGCACAATGCAAACAATTCTTGTTTGCCAACCATGGCAGTCAGAAATACTCTCTGTTTCTGCAAGTCATCAAGCAGGACGGATGTGCCAGATGTGTCTTCAACATCTGTAAATCCAAGGAAATGTTCTGCATTAGACACAAATGGTTACTAAGAGACTATTCTCAAAACAAAGGAAAGCTGTTCCTTATGGCTGACATCACGAGTGCATCCAGTATAATAGAGTATAACTTTGCTCTGTGTACTTTTCCAGAATTTTGTCTCTAATTCGTGCAATTATTTTAATGTTTTCACTTAAGTAATGCAATGTGGTGTATTGTTTTTTTACCCTTCTTACATGTTCCCTCATAACTGAATCAAACTGTGCCATCAATTTGTGCCAGAAAATTCCCATTGTGTGGGTCATACTACACAAATATGGTCCCTCTTAAAGCCTGGTTGCATTCTGCTAAGTTGCAAACAATGGAAATCACTGTCCTTATGAGACGTTGGCAATACTCAGTCTCGATTTGCATCAAGTCCTGCTGACTTAGCTCTATAGATGTCTCGGTTTTTTTAGTCTGTTCTTCAGCTCATGCCAGTTTTCTATATTGTCCCAATGCCCCTTTGAAGATTCATTTTATTTTAAGTGATTCTTCCATGTACAGAAACCATTGTTGCTTAACGCACTGTCACGCTTCCCAAAAACAGTGCAAGAGAAACAGAACATGGCGTCTGGGCTCATGGAGTATACTAGCCATGAACAAATTTTCTCACCATTTTCATGGTTCTTCTATAACACTCTTTTGTGAATCTTCATGGTGGAGTCTCAGAATTTTGGGAGAAATCAATGTCCATGACTTGCACTGGTACACTCTCTTTTAGGAGATTTGACCAAAGTACAGGGTCATCCTCTATGATTACAGAGTTTGTGGTACCTTGTGCTGAGAAGGTAATGTAAGAGCTGTGAAGTGGTGATGATTCAATGTGTGTTGTGGACCTGGTACCACTGGAGGCTGTCTACCGTTCCATGAAGGTAGATGGACATCTTTGGAGGTAGACTGGAACCATAAAGTTTGTCAAAAACAAAAAAACAGATTTTAAAACTGAAGGACAACTATAATTTAAACAAAAAAAATATTTAAAGATTTAAAAATCTAAAAAAAAGAAACAAACTAAATAACTTAATTTTACAAAGTGCTGGTGAAGATTCTCAGTCATCCAGGTCATAAGTCATTCCAAAAAAGAAAAAAAAAACAATCCACTGGACTTTGTTTCCACGTTTTAAGACGGAAAAAGCCTCCTGGATTCGAAGCGAAAGGTCTTCAAACTTGGAGACCAAGTCCAGCGGATTTTTTTTTTCTTTACCTTTTCGGAATTAGCTTTAAAACAAAAATTAGGATATTTGAGCCTAGAAAACATCCAACCATTTTCGTCTGCTTATCGGTCAGGGTCACAGCGATGATGATGCATTTCACCAGGAGTCTGAGTGAAAAGCAGGGTACACCCTGGACAGGTAATCTAAAAACAAATATCACCAGAATAGTGTTCAACCTTTAATGAGATCCTAAAGGTTTGATGATCAAAGTGGAGGTCCAAACCTCGCTAGATGACACAGGAGCATTAAGTGGTCTTTTATAACCTGTAATTGTGATGTCAGAGCTGCATTGCATCCTTTGAGATGTAGTTCCAGTCTGTTTATATAGTTAGATCAACACAAGGATAAATAAAGTGAAGTCTCCTTTCTTTAAACGACAATAGAACGTCTCTCTGCTGTGTTTTTCTTCCCAGACCGCCTTCAGGATTATGTTGGAAAAGCAGAGGTTTTCTCTGAACAGCAGCTCTTTGAAAAGGAGAGGAATTCCAGTTTGGATCAAGAGCAACTAGAACCTCTGCAGATAAAAGAAGAGCAGCAAGAACCAGAACATCCCTGGACAAAAGAGGAAACCATGGAGCTCCCCATAAGTGAGCACGAAGAGCAGCTACATCTAAAGCAGTTGACTGAAGATAGAGGAGAAAATTCTTTCCCACGTTTGACATGTGGAGAAAACTTTCTAAAAAAAGAGCATTTAATGGTTCACATGAGAACTCACACAGGTCAGAAGATTTATGAATGTCTGTATTGTGGAAAAAGCTTTTCTTATAAGTGTAATTTTAATAGACACATTAGAATTCACACAGGGGAGAAGCCTATCTCCTGTACAATTTGTGGCAAAAGTTTTAATGTAAAAAGTGGTTTGACTGAACACATGAGAACTCACACTGATGAGAAGCCTTTTGAATGTCTGTCCTGTGGGAAAAGCTTTTCTTATAAATTTAACCTTAATAGACACATCAGAATCTACACCGGTGAGAAGCCTTTCTACTGTACGATTTGTGGCAAAAGTTTTACTATTAAATGTAGTTTAACTGAACACTTGATAATTCACACAGGTGAGAAGCCTTTTACGTGTCAGTCCTGTGGAAAAAGCTTCAATTCTAAGTCTGAACTTAATAGACACATCAGAATTCACACAGGTGAGAAGCCTTTTAGATGTGTATATTGTGAAAAAAGCTTCAATCAGAAATGTGATCTTGATGCACACTTCAGAGTTCACACAGGTGAGAAGCCTTTTACTTGTCCATCCTGTGGAAAGAGTTTCCTCTCTACGTCTATTCTTAATACACACATCAGAATCCACACAGGTGAGAAGCCGTTCTCCTGTACAATTTGTGGCAAAAATTTTAGCCAGAAAGGTAGTTTGTCTAACCACATGAGAATTCACTCAGATGAAACACCCTTTTCTTGTAAGACCTGTGGAAAAGGCTTCAATCGGAAATTTAATTTTGATAGACACATCAGAATTCACACAGATTAAAGCCTTTCTCCTATACTATTTGCGGGGCGACAGTGGCTGAGGATGAAAGAGTTTGCCCTGCAACTGGTGTGTTGTTTAAACCACGGCTCTGACTTTCAGTGACGTGTCGTACTGATGGCGGCTAGAGGGACTAGTGGCACCTGAGTGTGTGCGAGAATAACTGAATTGAGTGTAAAGAGATTTGGTCCGTCCTCTGACTTGATAAAGCGCTATAACAACAGGCCATTTACCTGTACAGGTAAAAGTTTTACCGGAAAAAGTTACTGGACAAGGCACGTGATGACTCATGTGAGAATAATTTTTCATCCATGACACATAAAATTCAATCATAAAAAGGGAGATTTGTTGCTTCTAATAAGAAGTCACAAAACAGTGATGCCATTTTAGCCTCACAAAAAAGGACACCTTAAATGCATTAAGCCTTGAAACTTCAACATTCCTTGGAGAATCTCTTTAACTGAGATTTGAACGACCTCTCCCCTTTTTTTTGCTTATTAAATGTTTGCACAGTTCTTAGATACAATAATACTCTGTGATTGTTAGCTAATAAAGGTACTGTTGTATTTTAACCCGTGGCTTTTTGTGGTTATTTTATGCAATCGTTTATCACTCAGGCTGGATTCACTCTTCTTTTAGCAACATTCAAATGAACATAGACTGATTTATCTGCTTGGTGATTAATAACTCTTCAGATAGGCATACTCTAAATTACTAAATTGGTAAAGGGAACGGGATTTTAAACAGCCAGCCCAGGAGTCCAACCTTTTATCTAAAAGACTAAGAACCCTGGTTGGTAAGTAAATTGCAGTTGTAATCATTCAACTAATAATCAATTGGTTTTACCCTTGATTTGAATGACCTATTAATTAACTTCCTGTTCTAGTTATTTAATATATTCATAATCGTCTGGTAAATTGCACAACTGGCCAATGGTCTGCTGCTTTACATAATCTCAACAAAAGCTGTTCTGTGAGGTAGCAGGGATAGTCAGAATTAAAGTCAACTCTGAAACCATTTACTCTGAAAAGTTAACTCTTTAGTTTTTGCTGTGTGTAAAATACTGTAAAAATGTCAACGGCTGTATAGTGATTATTTGTTATTCAGATGCACTGTATTTATATATGTAAAAAACCTATACCGTACGGTGTTTTGTTAAATTTGTTATACTTATTTATTTATATTTTTTCATGAATTTAAATGTATTTTTCTATGCAGCAATTTGGTCAGCTGTGGTTTTTAAGTGCTTAATCAATAAAATTGAATTGGATATTTTTTCAAACCCCATCACTTATTCTACAATTTTTTCATACAATTTTTCAAGGTACACATAGTGTGACCACTTTTACTGTAATCTGTTGCTGCTGTAACTCCACTATTTCCCCACTGTGAGAGTTTCTATTCTATGTAGTGTATATCTGCTGTTTATTTAGTAATGTCTTCCAAAGCTCTGATGCCTTCATGAAGTTCTCTCTCCAGCCCTGATATCAACAGTCTGTTGATTTAAACTAAAACACTCTGCAGTGCTGAGGCATCCTTCTACTGTTCTGCTTAAAGGGGAACGCTGTTTTTTTACATTGAGCCCTTGATTTTACGTTATTACATCATGTTTTACTCACCCTATATGAGAAGATATTCCGTTAGGTTATATCCAAGTAACGTCTTCCTTTGGGCAACGACTTGAAGGCACAAACTAAACTATCATCTGTGGTAGTAGCACTAGACATCTTCCAGGCATGTGAGTAAAACTAGCAGCAGTTCAGGGGACGGGATGAATGAATGGTAGCCGGCGCACGCGGATGACATCATACACACGCCGTTTTTTTTTTTTATTATAAATATAAAAAATATAATGGCGGATGTCTGGGGGGCAGTGATTTGCTTACATGTTATGAATGCTGGCCTACCATAAAGAATAAATTATGAACGGTTTAGTTTGTGTGTGTATGTATATGTAAACACTACTGTTCAAAAGTTTGGGGTCACATTGAAATGTCCTTATTTTTGAAGGAAAAGCACTGTACTTTTCAATGAAGATAACTTTAAACTATTCTTATCTTTAAAGAAATACAGTCTATACATTGCTAATGTGGTAAATGACTATTCTAGCTGCAAATGTCTGGTTTTTGGTGCAATATCTACATAGAGGCCCATTTCCAGCAACTATCACTCCAGTGTTCTAATGGTACAATGTGTTTGCTCATTGACTCAGAAGGCTAATTGATGATTAGAAAACCCTTTTGCAATCATGTTCACACATCTGAAAACAGTTTTGCTCGTTACAGAAGCTACAAAACTGACCTACCTTTGAGCAGATTGAGTTTCTGGAGAATCACATTTGTGGGGTCAATTAAACGCTCAAAATGGCCAGAAAAAGAGAACTTTCATCTGAAACTCGACAGTCTATTCTTGTTCTTAGGAATGAAGGCTATTCCATGCGAGAAATTGCTAACAAATTGAAGATTTCCTACAACGGTGTGTACTACTCCCTTCAGAGGACAGCACCAACAGGCTCTAACCAGAGTAGAAAAAGAAGTGGGAGGCCGCGTTGCACAACTGAGCAAGAAGATGAGTACATTTGAGTCTCTAGTTTAAGAAATAGACACCTCACAGGTCCCCAACTGCCATCTTCATTAAATTGTACCCACAAAACACCAGTGTCAACATCTGCAGTGAAAAGGCGGCTGCAGGATTCTGGGCTTCAGGGCAGAGTGGCAAAGAGAAAGCCATATCTGAGACTGGCTTATAAAAGAAAAAGATGAAGATGGGCAAAAGAACACAGACATTGGACAGAGGAAGACTGGAAAAAAGTGTTGTGGACGGATGAATCCACGTTTGAGGTGTTTGGATCACAAAGAAGAACGTTTGTGAGACGCAGAACAAATGAAAAGATGCTGAAAGAATGCCTGACGCCATCTGTTAAGCATGGTGGAGGAAATTTATTGGAGCCAATTCCATCCTACAACAGGACAATGACCCTAAACACACCTCCAAATTGTGCAAGAACTATTTAGAGCAGAAGCAGGCAGCTGGTATTCTATTGGTAATGGAGTGGCCGGTGCAGTCACCAGATCTGAACCCCACAGAGCTGTTGCAGGAGCAGCTTGACTGTATGGTACGCAAGAAGTGCCCATCCAACCAATCCAACTTGTGGGAGCTGCTTCTGGAAGCGTGGGGTGCAATTTCTCCAGATTACCTCAACAAATTAACAGCTAGAATGCCAAAGGTCTGCAATGCTGGAATTGCTGCAAATGGAGGATTCTTTGACGAAAGCAAAGTTTGATGTAAAAAAAAATCTTATTTCAAATACAAATCATTGTTTCTAACAATGTCAATGTCTTGACTCTATTTTCTATTCATTTCATTCATTGGTGAATAAGTGTGACTTTTCAGGAAAACAAAATTGTTTGGGTGACCCCAAACTTTTGAACGATAGTATATAGACACACATATATATATATATATACACATATATATATATATATATGTGTGTGTGTGTATATGTACACTATATTGCCAAAAGTATTTGCTCACCTGCCTTGACTCACATATGAGCTTAAGTGACATCCCGTTCCTAATCCATAGGGTTCAATATGACGTCGGTCCACCCTTTGCAGCTAGAACAGCTTCAACTCTTCTGGGAAGGCTGTCCACAAGGTTTAGGAGTGTGTTTATGGGAATTTTTGACCATTCTTCCAGAAGCGCATTTGTGAGGTCGCACACTGATGTTGGACGAGAAGGCCTGGCTCTCAGTCTCCGCTCTAATTCATCCCAAAGGTGTTCTATCGGGTTGAGGTCAGGACTCTGTGCAGGCCAGTCAAGTTCATCCACACCAGACTCTGTCATCCATGTCTTTATGGACCTTGCTTTGTGCACTGGTGCACAGTCATGTTGGAAGAGGAAGGGGCCAGCTCCAAACTGTTCCCACAAAGTTGGGAGCATGGAATTGTCCAAAATGTCTTGGTATGCTGAAGCATTCAGAGTTCCTTTCACTGGAACTAAGGGGCCAAGCCCAGCTCCTGAAAAACAACCCCACACCATAATCCCCCCTCCACCAAACTTTACACTTGGCACAATGCAGTCAGACAAGTACCGTTCTCCTGGCAACCGCCAAACCCAGACCCGTCCATCAGATTGCCAGATGGAGAAGCGCGATTCGTCACTCCAGAGAACGCGTCTCCACTGCTCTAGAGTCCAGTGGCGGCGTGCTTTACACCACCGCATCCGACGCTTTGCATTGCACTTGGTGATGTATGGCTTGGATGCAGCTGCTCGCCCATGGAAACCCATTCCATGAAGCTCTCTGCGCACTGTTCTTGAGCTAATCTGAAGGCCACATGAAGTTTGGAGGTCTGTAGTGATTGACTCTGCAGAAAGTTGGCGACCTCTTCGCACTATGCGCGTCAGCATCCGCTGACCCCGCTCCGTCAGTTTACGTGGCCTACCTCTTCGTGGCTGAGTTGCTGTCGTTCCCAAACACTTCCATTTTCTTATAATACAGCTGACAGTTGACTGTGGAATATTTAGGAGCGAGGAAATTTCACGACTGGATTTGTTGCACAGGTGGCATCCTATCACAGTTCCACGCTGGAATTCACTGAGCTCCTGAGAGCGACCCATTCTTTCACAAATGTTTGTAAAAACAGTCTGCATGCCTAGGTGCTTGAATTTATACACCTGTGGCCATGGAAGTGATTGGAACACCTGATTCCAATAATTTGGATGGGTGAGCAAATACTTTTGGCAATATAGTGTATATATATATATATATATATATATATATATATATATATATATATGGATGACATGTTGTTGACATACACATCACTGCATTTCAAATTGTTCAAAAGGAACAATTGGCTTTATCATTATTCTATTGTCATCCTGTGTGATACCTAAATGCTTTAGATTCAAGCTGTGTCACAGTGCAGAGTTGCTTCACCATGGTCTAAGTCACCTAATAGGAGCTGTTTGAGCTGCATGAATCTTTGTCATGAGAATAACAGTTTGTCTCAACAATGTAGTGTGGATTAGTTTTTACTCTAGCCTTCAGAGTGAAGTAGAAATAAACTGGGGAGGGAAAAGATTGAACTTGTGTTTTGTGATTGAAGTCAACATTTCTTCTGCAGAATAATGTGGTGGAAAATTTTAATCTATGTTAACTTCACCCTGTTTTTATTAAGATATTTTTCATTACCCATATTAAGAAGAGGTGCATTATATCTTTTTCCCATCCTTTTGCATCTTTCTGTGTCTAAGGAGTTGGAGTCAGAGGAGGTTTACAATCCATCTCTGTACTGAGGTCAGTGAAGAGAGAATGCTAGATAAGGAGCTGGATCAGACCAGAATTAGATGGAGCTCTGTCTTTCTGGAGTCCACCTCACTTTACTTTGGCCGTCTGTGATAAATGTGTGTGCATACCGTTGTTTGGGGCTTATCCATAGGGTTACAGTGGAGCTGGTGCCTTTCTCCAGCAGTTTCTCTGCAAAAGACGCAGTAAAACCTGGACAGTTCAGCAAAAAAAAAAAAAACATGTTTAAACATTTCTTTAATGGTTAAGAATCTGCGAGAC